CTTTAAGTCAAAAATGAAAGTAGTAAAAACCGATGTCCTCCCCCCCTTTTTAAAAAAATTGAACAGCCCAAATTCCTATTCCTAAAGAAACAGTGAGAATAAATTAAGACAACCGAACGTAGAAAAAATAAAAAAGGCATTTTCTACAAGCCTTCTGCGTCGAAAATCTCTACTTACAAACATGCACTGGAAAAAATGTACACAACATATCACTCTTAAACTCTCAGTGAGATTGTAAACTAACCATTTGTCGACTAAAATATGAAAACAGTTACTTAAAACTGAAAGAAAAGCATGTAGTAATAATAACACCTATGATCGTTTTGACACGTCTGTCTGTTGACGCGTCAGTTTTGCTGTTTGAACTCAAGGCACCCAAAAATAATATTTCCTGCTGAAATTATCATAAGCATGATCACTATTCTAACATGTACTCTGTTAGTCTAATAAGGAAGAAAGATTCTATGTCACACTTGAAATGGACGAGACACTTCACCTCACACACACATGCAACTACAGTGTTGTATTTGCAGGCTTTTTCCCAGATTTTAGTACAAAAGTGTTATAAAAAAAGATGACAACTCTTCATCTTAAGTCTCGATTGTCTCACTGTTACTGCGTAGTGTTTGTATGAATCAGCCTAAATGTGTGTTTGTGCTAGGCAGTGTTATACAGGAGCAAACCAGAGAAATGGCTGCAGGAATCTTGAGAGGCAGGAATAATCTTATTTTCTTGAGTTAAATCTGAGTGGAGCCAAAGACAGATTTATTAAAAAAGCATTAAAGGATAAGTATAGTGGTATTTATTTCTTATAGCTAGTAATTCCTTAAAAATACCCAAATTAACTATGATGGTGGAGGCGTGTGGCGCAGTGGATAGAGCGTTGATGTTCGGATGAGGGGAGCACAGGTTCAAACCCCACTGCAGTCAGCATGTCGTTGTGTCCCTGGGCAAGACACTTCAACCCAAATTGCTCCTGTGGGGATTGCCCACAGTATTGAGTATGTAAGTCTCTTTGGATAAAAGCGTCTAACAAGTAACATGTAATGTAACTATGAATGTATCCACCAATATCTCTGCATTCTCTCAACTGGCCAGCAGAGGGCCATGGTTGCAATAAGAAGTCAGATTGTATGGAAGTATATGAGAAAATTGCCATACATCTCAATTGATTTACTAAATTATTAAACATTTTTCTGAAGAACTAATGGTCTCAATCTTTAGTTTCAAGTCTTGTCTTTTAATGTATTATCTCAATAGGCAATAAAGAAGTGTATACTTTAGGAAGTGACTACCAGAAAGACACTCTTTAAGGAGTCTGCGGTTTATTTTCAGGTAAATAGACATTTTCTAGCTTGTTTTACAATCCAAAATTAGCATCCCAATTTAAATCCCATTTAACATGAATTGTGGATTCACCTCGCTAACCTAGCTAGCTAGCGTTAGCTGCTAATAGTAGATGTCCCAACCATGGATGTATAATAAGAACTGGATACAGCGTGGGAGGCGGGGTCTCGTTCTTTCCTATGAGAGCTGCTCAATGGCGCATGAAGGCAAAATGGCCCAACTTTTGAGAGACTTTTGAGAAACGTCACAGATTACCCGTCATGCCTGGTTAGAGCATGCGCAGTTGAGTCGCCCCTTAAGCCCCGCCCCCCGAGCTCCCACTCTCGGCTCAGTAGAATGAATGGAGAGAGAAAATAAATCTAGATTCGGCTTTTAGTGCATTTTAAAACTTTAAGGACTTAATGATTCTAATAAGGGCTATGAAATAGTTCATACTGGGTAGTTTATTTAGTTTAAAAAAAAGTATCCGCTGATTTACAGACGTCTCTTTCCCCATGTTAGTCAATGGGAAAACGTTGTTTTGGGCCCAGTGACGTCACGGACTGATACGGAAGTTGCAGTACCGCCGTTTGGACACAACGAATGTTGGGCACAGAGTCCGGCGCACTTCCTGGGGGCTTGGTCCCAACTCCACCCTATAGTCCAAATATATCCAAAAAAACATGATGGTGACAGTCAAACAACCAATGAGTCAAAGCACAGTGACTACGCCCACTTCTTTTTACAGTGTATTGTGTAAATACAGTTTGCAGCTGAAAATAAACCTTGACTAATGGCTGTTTCATACTGGAACACACCGCAAAGACTTCAGCCGACGGCCAAGTAGCACGTACGAACTGAGCATGCGTGAGTGGCAATAACTCTCCTTACCAGCAGGCGGCGGTAGTGTGTATTCGTCATTCAAAAGAGGCAACAACCGGAAGACAGACTGCGTGATAACCGAGAGAAGAAGAACAGACTGCGTGATAACCAAGAGAGAAGAAGAACAGACTGCGTGATATAAACAAACAACAAATAGCGTGTGCGTTCCATTTTCACTCTACAGCGAGAAGCTCATGGGGCTTTCCCCAACCTGTGTCGAGAGCTGGAGTTAAATGAAATCTCAGATTTGCCTTCTTAATCGTTTGTTTGGGTCCCTCACTTCCGTTTCGCTTCTCATGCACTGATTCGCTAAGCTGAACAGCCAATCAGAGTGATTTCTTTTGCCAACAGCCTTTGGCCGACTGCTCACCGATTCGACATGTTGAATCAGTGGGTTTTCGGCCGAAAAGGTGTCGGCACGGCTGAAAAGACACAACGGTGCGGGACACACCAATCTGAGTAGGGCGTGTCGACGCCCATCGACGGCCAAAGTCGGCTTGGTGTGTCCTTTAGGGACATCTATTTGGTTTAATTACTTTTTTATTTTCTTTATTGTTGTACTAATTAAACTGCTATGGTTGTTTGGCTCCTACCGCTGCAGATGACCTCAATGTTTAATCTTATTTATGCCTCTAATAAATGCTTTACAGGAGACCCTAAGTCCTACCCCAACATTAGCATCTGTTCAACAATGGATGTGTTTCCGGGTAAATATTAGTTTTTTTAAACATGACTATTGTATATGATGTCTAGGTTATTTACACATTGTATTACGTGCTGATATAAACTGATTACCCTGTTGTTTTTAGGTGGTTTTCAAGCATTTAACAACTAAACCTTATCAGTAAACGCGCTGCAAAAACACTGCTATTTGCTGAATGACAGCATGATATTAATGAATTTCTTCACACAACATTATAAAAACGGACTTGTGCAGAGTTTACACATTTGATCTGTGGTGCAGTTCCTACTTGTTGCCAATAGAGGTTGTAAAATGTCATATGTGACAATCATTCACCTGCACTGCGGCACAGCATCCTTATTTTATATTAGTGTGACTATCATCTTTTACAAAACAGAGATACAGCTCCCTCTCTCCATTTTGATGTATTTGCTTCTCAGTTACAGCCTTTCTTCTGACGGTGTGTTGGTGGAGAGTGTGTGGTTTTGTCTGCTTATTTTGAGCTGTGTTGCACACTGACACTCAGTAAGGTGAGTATCAGTGAATACATGCTGAGGGATTAAACATATCCCACTCTAATAAATGCTGTGTAGTCTGTGTTCAGCTGCACAGTTTCCAAAAACTAACAAAACCAAGAAAGCTCAGATATAAAATCAGTGTTAAAAAAGCTGTGTGTGTTTAAATGTGCTGAATAAGATCTGCTCCAGCTTTCACTTAAGGGTTATAGAGTCAGTGTCCACAGTTAAATTATGCTCCCATGAACATTAACTTAATCAACACCAGAGCCTGTAGACTCATGGCAATTCATTAAATGTTCATGGGAGCATTATCGAGTGTGCGCACTCCATTTCTTCCATGTTTTTATGTTCAGCACTTTGTATTTATTGTGCGGATGTGTGTGCTTTTGTCAGTGTACAATGTCAATGGGTTTTAGGTTAATATGTTATGCTTTTATACCATACCAGAATATTTGTGCATGTTTATCCATGTCAGTTTATAGGTTAATGTGTTCAGAGAGGATTAAAGTGGAGGATATAAATCAGACAATTAAGTATTAAGAACGTTTTGATTCAGGAGAAATGTGCATTGATCTTTAAAGGTCCCCTATTATACTGTTTTTCATCAATATGTTATAGGTCTCAGATATATACAGAGCCTGTCTCTGATTGGCTGAAACACCAAACAGATCATTGCAGCATTACCCATAATCCCCTCTGTTTCAGCCCTGTTTCAAAAGTGCTGATTCTCTGTCTGTTACTTTAGATGAAAATAAGGAGCCCCTCCCCACGCCCCTCTGAGAGAGATTTGGTTAGAAAGAACACAATGGTGCTCTAGGAGGAGATTCAGGTGATAAGGTGGGGGGGGGGTTACCTTGGTTGGTGATTGGCTAATGGTTACACAAGACAAAACATCGTTATGACATCACAAAGTGGCCAAAATCTGATCAGCTCATTTTCAGACAGGTTTTTATAAAAATGGATCAGGACAAAAAGAGAGGGGGTCTTTTTTGGAGTTTGCATAATAGGTGACCTTTAAATAGAGAACTAAAGAATTTACGAATTAAGAACGAATGATAGGTGATAACGATCGGAGCACTTGGTCTGATTCAATTTCCGTGAATAAACCTCAGCAAAATCAACAGAAAATGAAATAAAAATATTTACAACACAACACCTTCTATCTAAATGGATTTAGCGCTCAAAGCTCTTTGAGTCAAAGACAAAACGTTCTTCCTTGATAATTCATCAGCATTTTCAACGGGTGTATGTTTTAAGAAGCTAAATGAATCCCTAAATGTGGGGGTTAACTCATCTCCACACTGACAGCATTTAAATAAATGGCACTCTCCGGTCTTAACGACATATAACGTTGGTCCTGGTTGGAATTGACTTCGGGAATAACGTCCTTAGGAAATGCTTTAATAATCTGATTCCTTCACACCATTTGCTTTTCCTCAGATCTTTAATTCATCCAGGTTAAATCTGAACTTTACACACACACACCACACACACACACACACACACACCACACACACACACACACACACACACACACACACACACCACACACACACACACACACACACACAAACACACACACACACACACACACAAACACACACACACACACACACACACACACACACACACACACACACACACACACACACAAGAATATACCATATCTACCACAGTTTCTCACCCATTCCCGCCTGATCTTTGGTTAATTTTACTAAGCTCCACTACACCACTGCCCTTGGCGAGATAACGTACGCAAACACATGATTATTTCTACTACTTAAATGAGTTTTGAAGGTATTGCTGTGCTTCACGGTGAGCATTTGTGTTTTTAGTCTACCTGGCATTTTGTCGAATAAACTGATATCAATGCTACACACTTTTTTTTTGTGTTGATGACGCGCAATAGGAATAGAAAAGAATAACTTAAATATCTTGTACATTTCTACATCCGGGACCCATGGAGCTGGAAGAGCTGTGAAATATAAAGAAAAACAGACATTAGGAATTGTTTTTTAATATCTTATATATACACATGTTACTACATTAGCTATGCAATGATGTGGTGATGCTGTGATGATGCTGATGGTGACAATGGAGACAGAATGAGAGCAAATGACTTCACTGACATGCATAATGGATCAACAAACACACACACACACACACACACACACACACACACACACAGTCCTGTCTGAACACACAGAGGGACGTCTGACTGCTGCTCTGAAGGTCAGGGATATTTCATGTCACGGCATCGGTAATGAGAGCCAATAGAAACACAGCGTTGATCGATATCTGAGATTGCGTGGGGACACTGTTCACACACACACACACACACACACACACACACACACACAACACACACACACCACAACCCACACACACACACACACACACACAACACACACACACAAACCACACACACCACACACACACACACACACACACACACGGACTTGAATAATAATGCTGCTTTTCCTTTCTTATTTAGCCATTAGGATTAATTGAATACAAAATCATCTCTCAAAATGACATTTAAAGTGCTTAAAGGGACAATTCACCCCATTTTCTGAAATATATGTTTCCTATTCCTGGGATACATCTACTGCTGATTTATCCTACACTCAATAACTCACACCAAAACGTTATAGATTAACTATCTACACCTTTAATAATGTATATAGTATTTTATTGTATGTTGTAGTAGGTGGGCCTCATCATAGTGTATTTTACATGATAATGTATATTGTTTATTCTATAGATATACATATTTCTGCTGTTGATATGTATATATTTCAATTTTAAATATCATTTTAAAGAGATTTATTTATGCCCCCTTCTAAAGCTTATAACTATGCACTTGGCTTGTTTCGCTGTGTATTTGCTACTAACAGGGTTCATACACTTTTTCACCAATGATTTTCAATGACTTCTCCAGGACCTTTACCTAATTTTCCATGACCAAAAACATTACTCTTTCTCAGCGGTACCACTGAAAATGGTTTATTTTAACATGGAACAGGAAAATAAGGTCTGCATATGAAACAGGTTGTGCCTATCTAAAACAAATCAAATAGTTGGCTTACTAGCTTCTACAGGCTAAAGCAACTAAAATCTCTCACCAGCAAAATACCTCGTGAGTTAAATGCCATTTTACGTTTCATTACTATACGATACAGTATGTATTATCGTTATAGTATTACTATTTCAGCGATTAGATCAAATATAAATTATATTTGATGCAACTTTAGTTACATTTCCATGACTTTTCCAAAACTTTGGGAAAAATATAGTTTTCCATAACTTTTCCAGGGCCTGGAATTTGCTTTTTGAATTTCCATGACTTTTCCAGGTTTTTAATGACCGTAAGAACCCTGTACTAATAATTATTTAGTTTGCACACAAATACATGTTCTCATGTACAAGCAATGTTAAAGCCTCCTTTAAGGTGCAGTAGGCACTGTGTTTACTGGGCCTATCGTTCCTTCTCAATGCAGCGCCACGAAACATCCCAGATCTCTGCAGACATCACACACACACCTGAACACACACACACACACACACACCTAAACACACACACACACACCTAAACACACACACACACACACACACCTAAACACACACACACACACACACACACAACACACCACACACAACACACACACACACACGAATCTACCATATCTACCCACTAAGCACATCTACCGCACAGTTCCTCACCCATTCCCGCCTCTCTTTGGAACAAAAGCAACATGACTCCCTCATTCTCTAATCCACTCATTCGGTGTTGTTTCTCTCCCTCCCTCCGCCTCCTTCGCAGCCTCTTCCTCCACCTCCACCTCCTCCTCCTCTTCCTCCTCCTGCATCTCTGCCGGCTTCATTCAGCACGATGGACGGAGGGGAAAACACAAAACACAAAACAAACAAAAAACAAGACGACACGCTGATGAGTGTCAGTGAGCGGACAGTGAGAAGCTGAGAGGTCGATATATTTCTATAGATCCACAGGAGAGAGAGGATGAAGGTTGATAATAGCAGGAACGAGCAGTGTGAAAGATGGCAGTGAACGTGTTTGTGAATGACATTTTGAAGCGGGTGACATTTGGAGCGTCGAGTGGAGGATCAAAGCACACACACTTCAATGAGAGGACATACACTCACACACACCAAAGACACACACACACTCTCTATAAGGGACACAGCCTTGTAGCTGGATCCTATTTAGAGGAACACTACCCACATGAAATGATCTTTTCTATATCAATTATTCACCCTGTGTTACCTTGAATTCTTGAAAGCATTGATTTTCTCTCATGTGTGTGAACAGTGAACGAAAAACCAAAATATTGAAGAAATTCTTGATCATTTGAGGTAAAAAGGTGTCACTTTTAACAACAGCTACTCTCATCTCTCCCAGAACTCATGCGTTTAGCTCAAAGTTGACTATTTAAAGGCCGCTGTACACACCCACCTGAGACCAAAGAACGCGTACCGAAGGCATCCCGACTTTTACGTCAGCTACGTCGCCTGCGAACACACCGCAAATACTTCAGTCGAAGAGTGGCAATAACTGTCCTTGCCAGCAGGCAGCGGTAGTGTGAACAGCCAATCAGAGTGATTGCTTGGGCCGACTTTCTCTGGCCGCGGGAGGTGTGAAAAGGTGCCGTAAAGAGACGACGGTGCGGGACACACCAACCTGAGTAGGGCGCCGCGAATGCCCGACTGCCTCTGACGGCCTCTGACTCCCAAAATCGGGTTGGTGTGTAGCCAGCTTTAAACACTTGTAACTTGCATAAGTGTGACTCTGTTAATGCAGGAGGGTTTTAAATAGTAAGAATAGTGAAAATACATGCAACTGATTAAATGAGACTTGTGCCTTGTCCTCGCGTACCCTTTTCTCTTTGTAAACGCTGCTTTTTCTATGCATAACATTACATTTTATTTAGCTAAAGCTTTTATCCAAAGCGACTTACAATAAGTGCAATCAACCATGAGGATACAAACTCAGAGCAGCAAGAACCCTGCAAGCCATGCGTACAGAAATGAGAAGATTTTTGTATAGATTCTTTGCGTTACGGGATTTCGTCCATCCCGAAATGCCGTGTAAGGTCACTGAAAGTAAAACATTATGCTCAAGGGTGAAGTTATTCAGAAACTCAGAGTTGCCGTCTACTAATGTCAGAGTGTGTACCGTTAGGTCCTTTATGAGGCGTCACTAATTAGGCGACATGTCTGTTACTAAGCTAGCTAAAATACATTTTTCACACGTTACATCTTAAAGGTCACCTATCATGCTATTTTTAGGCAATAGCATAGGTCTCAGATATATACAAATATATAAAAAACATGTCTATGAAGTGTTTTGCGCAAAATACCAAACAGATCACCCATTCTAGCCATGCCTCATATCCCTCTGTTTCACTTCCTGTTTCAAAAGTGATGATTTGGGGTATAAAGCTTTAAAAAATTAAAAAGGAGGGGTCTGAGCTCATGCGGGACCCGGCAGCTACTGTCTAAACTAAATACTGCCGTGATGAAACGCCATATCATGGATTATCAAGGATTATTTCTGAAACAGTATGGAGCTCAAAGGCTTTCTCTCTTGCCGGTTATACCACAAGGTGAGTTCCTTTTTATTTCCTGCTTCTTCACACACATGCTCTCCAGTACAGCTTAGCTCTGAGTGTTAGCGATGCTAATGTAAACACAGACCATATTACGTCCAAAACAGTCGGGCATTGTTTCTGATAGCAACGTTTCTGATTGGGCCGTGGGTCCACATTTCAGATATTACGTCATATCGGACGCAAATCTGGATCAGCTCCGTTGTAGCCCCGTTTTTAGAGATTTGGGTACGGAGGAAAAGAGAGAGGGTTTTATTTTCTGACGCTGCTTGAGTTCCCCGACACACCAGGGACACATGTTTATGCATAAAAGACATCAAAAAGTGCATTTTGCATGATAGGTCCCCTTTAAAATAACTCTTCCACTATGTTGAGGAATTAAGGGAGGGTGTCAGAAAGCACTACGGTGGTCATTGCTAACATTTGAAAATTAGGCTAAGTTGTGTGAGGGTTTGTAAATGGATGTTTTGATAAAGTATTGCCTTAGTTTAAGTCTTATATCATCAAGACTTTTCTCAGTATTTTTTAAATCTTTGCTCGACATGCAGGCCTCATAGAAAAACAGCATTTTCTATAAGAATTCAAGACAACACGGGGTGAGTTATTGTTACGCAAATGTCATTTTGTAGGTTAAGTATTCCTTCAAACATACGTGTGTGTGTGTGTTCCTGAAAGATAAGGACAGAGCCTCACCTTTGTTTTGTGGCTCTGCTCCGTAGCGAGTCCTGACCCGGGAGTGTGAAGCTCTTTGGAGACGACACACAGGAACTCAGCCTGGTCCTCCGTCCCGTAGCTGTACGACGAGCCGATGTTCACCATCTGTGAAGAAGAGGGAGAGGAAGAGATGCAGAGGAGAGAGAGGGACAGACAGAGAGGCAGAGTGAGTGACAGGAAGCATCAGAAGCAACGGCAGAGAAAACTCAAAGCAAGAGGAAGGAACAGAGAGATCTGAGACCAGGGGTGTCCAAACTACGACCAAATGCAGCCCGTGGCCCATTTTGAATCGGCCCTCATCAAATTCAGAAAGTATAATGGAAACGGCCCACAAATGAAACTTGTGCTTGTCTTATATTGTATTTCTTCAATATGAATGTAAACATATATCGCACAGTAGTATTCATGTGTTAATGAGACCACTTTTAAAATAAATTCAGTCAATTAAAGTTGGAAACATTTTCTAACATATCTTAGTTGATTAGAAAAAAGCCAAATGACTTATTTCCATAACAAGCTTGAAATAAACCCTTCCTATTTCTCCTTATTATAATCAATCTGAGGCTTCTGTTTCAAGGGATGAGCTGCCAACACTCACAAGCATCATGTACCTACATTTCATTGATTATGCTAACTTAATATGTTACATGTTAGACGCTTTTATCCAAAGCGACTTACATACTCAATACTGTGGACAATCCCCACAGGAGCAATTTGGGGTGAAGTGTCTTGCCTAGGGACACAACGACATGCTGACTACAGTGGGGTTTGACCCCCTGATCCGAACACCAACGCACTACTTCACTGTGCCACACGTCTCCGAATACTGAACTTATCAGGCGATATACCTCTAGTGAGCGGCCCAGCCATTCGTATAGTTTTCTATATGTGGCCCTCTGTGAAAAAAGTTTGGACCCCCCTGATCTAGACTAAAGCCAGGAGAGACTTCTGGTGCTCATGCATGATGGAGGTGGAGGTGGAGGGGGCGGGGCTTAAGACTGCTGTTAGACACTCGACCTTGGACTCGACAAGAAGCATATTTTACTTGTGGGGGAAACAGCACAAACACTGTGGGTCGGCTTCTGCAGGGAATCGTGGGCAAAATACGCGGTGCAGCATGCAGTGGGGCAAAGCAGTGGGAAAAGAGGGTCTACGTGGAAGTTTTAAGGGTAAAAAAAAAAGCTATAATTGGAGAGGCCTTCACCTTCAAATAGATGTTACCACTGCCAGACTCCTCCCTATTACAGAGACTCAAGAAATCAATATTACTGTGGCTATTTTTCACTGCGTGTTCACACTGTGAGCAGCGAGTTGCTCACTTCAAACAGACTGTCGATAGGGAGAGTAAATGCTGTTCTGCAGCTTAAACGATTTTAGAGTGAAGCACTTCAAAATGTTAACTAAAGAGTAAGCTCACATTTATTTTTCTCAACTTTTCGATTATTCACAGTCGAAAAACCCTGAATCAATTCCCCAGAGCAGATGTCGACATATTGGAATTACTTGTTTTCAGGGCTGCTTACTATATTGTTTTTTAATAGTCATCGCAATGTCAATTTAAATACATTGCGATATTACACTACAGGTCTTTTTTAGTTACTTAAAAGAAGGTATCTGTAGAAAACTGCTCTTTAACATGTAACTATCATTATTTATTTTTCGGTGCCTTTTGTGTTTTCTCTTTGGCATTTAAAAAAAAAGTTCTTTATCATAATATTCTATCAATGAAAGCCTAACAAAGTCATAGTATAGAGGAAAGGATTATCAAGCAAACAGTTACATTTCTCAATTTCTGGTGGTCAAACCAGTTCAAGCACTTTAGAAAAACGTTTAAATGCGTCTACAAGAGAAGTATAATACTGACTGATTAGTCTGTGGTTTAAAATAGTAGGCTATTATTTATTTAAAATTACATGCATCCGCTAAGAAAAATAGTCCGTTGTTACCGTTTGAACTACGTAGCAACGGCAGGAGCTGCTTCGATAGCGTTTTTGAGGACCTTTTTGATTATAGATTTGAAAACATCGTTGCTTGTTTTAAAAGTAGCACAATTCATTATGTCAAAGCTTGGAAAGTATCTAGAAATCCCTGCCCTAATGCCAAAGTAACTGCACACTGAATATGTTTTGCCGTTTGATGTCTATGTCTGGACCGCTGTGTAAAAAGGAGGGTTTCTGCCCCGTTACTTCTCCGCTGTTTTCTTGTCCCAGTTCGGCCAAACTGTATACAGTTCAATCGACCGGACTTCTTTCTGCAGATGTGAGCGTCCTTAACAACGGTCAATAAGTCCTTGACAGCGGTCTGTCTGTACTGGATTAACAACGTGTCACATGTTCTGAATTGACCAATCAGAATCGAGTATTCAACTAAGCCATGTAATAAATCTATCTATCGACTCCTAGAGGAGGCTCTTTAAGTTTGTCGGGACTATCGGTGGGAAAGACTTCAGCAAACATGGACTCCAACCTAAGTCCAGGCTAAAGTCAATTCATTAATCTACACTGTGCAAATTGGTGCAATCTGGGGGTCTTTGGTAGAGTGGAAGGGGGCAAAAAAAGGGGGGCGCAGGTCAGGGTCAGGCCAAAGGGTCAAGTTTGAAGGTCAGCAGCAGCGTGAGTCCAACCCACAGTCCAGAGCAGTCCGGTGCGGGGCTTTCTGCAGGCGCGCACGCTGACCTGCTCAAACTTCCAGCCGTCCGACATGGTGGAGACCATCTGCGTGAGCTCCTCCTCCTGGCACTGCAACACGCGGTACACATGCTTGGGGGGCACCTGCTGCAGAGAGAGAGAGGAGGGGGGGGTTAAATAAGGCAGGAGCAGGGTCTCAATTAGTCTAATTATGTACTTACTCTTTCTATTTAAAGGTCCCCTATTATACTGTTTTTCATCAATATATTATAGTTCTCAGATATATACAGAGCCTGTCTCTGATTGGCTGAAACAGATCATTGCAGCATCCCATAATCCCCTCTGTTTCAGCCCTGTTTCCAAAGTGCTGATTCTCTGTCTGTTACTTTAGATGAAAATAAGGAGCCCCTCCCCACGCCCCTCTGATAGATATTTGGTTAAAAAGAACACAATGGTGCTCTAGGAGGAGATTCAGGTGATAAGGTGGAGGGGGGGGGGGTTACCTTGGTTGGTGATTGGCTAATGGTTACACAAGACAAAACATCGTTATGACATCACAAAGTGGCCAAAATCTGATCAGCTTATTTTCAGACAGGTTTTTATATAAATGGATCAGGACAAAAAGAGAGAGAATCTTTGTTCCTGAAACTTTCAGAGTCTCTTTTAACAGAGGGGACACATGTTGATGAAGAAGAGACATGAGGAAGAGGGGACACATGTTGATGTAGAAGAGACATGAAGAAGAGGGGACACATGTTGATGTAGAAGAGACATGGAGAAGAGGGGACACATGGTGATGTAGAAGAGACATGAAGAAGAGGGGACACATGTTGATGTAGAAGAGACATGAAGAAGAGGGGACACATGTTGATGTAGAAGAGACATGAAGAAGAGGGGACACATGTTGATGTAGAAGAGACATGAAGAAGAGGGGACACATGTTGATGAAAAAGAGACATGAAGAAGAGGGGACACATGTTGATGTAGAAGAGACATGAAGAAGAGGGGACACATGTTGATGTAGAAGAGACATGAAGAAGAGGGGACACATGTTGATGTAGAAGAGACATGAAGAAGAGGGGACACTGTTGATGTAGAAGAGACATGGAGAAGAGGGGACACATGGTGATGTAGAAGAGACATGAAGAAGAGGGGACACATGTTGATGTAGAAGAGACATGAAGAAGAGGGGACACATGTTGATGTAGAAGAGACATGAAGAAGAGGGGACACATGTTGATGTAGAAGAGACATGAAGAAGAGGGGACACATGTTGATGAAAAAGAGACATGAAGAAGAGGGGACACATGTTGATGTAGAAGAGACATGAAGAAGAGGGGACACATGTTGATGTAGAAGAGACATGAAGAAGAGGGGACACATGTTGATGTAGAAGAGACATGAAGAAGAGGGGACACATGTTTATGTAGAAAAGACATGAACAAGTGGATTTTGCATAATAGGTGACCTTTAAAGTGCATTGACACTGAGAAGTATTGAAAAATGCTAAGTTCACATTTTTTTTTAACTTAATACGTTTGTTTTATTGCACATTTTTGCTTTAATTCTTGTTTGATATAGAGATTTTAAATATATAATTACACGTGCTTGGGGGGCCCCTGCTGCGGAGAGAGAGAAGAGGGGGAGTTAAATAAGGCAGGGGCTAATCATAATTATGCTATTTGGGACTCCAACTAGTGTAATGATGTACTTACTCTTGCTATTTAAAGTGCATCGACACTGAGAAGTACCTTTTTCTACTTAAACGTAATATGTTTGTATAAATATTTTTATTTATTTTTATCATTTTTTTGCATATTTTTACTTGAATTCTTGTTTTATATAAATATTTTAAATATATAAATATTCTTATTATTTTTTTATTTTATAGTTTTATTGCACATTTTAACTTTAACTTTTTGAGTTCATATCAATATATGTATTCTATATTATTTTATTACATTTTAATATTTTATTGCACATTTTAGGTTAATATAAATATATATAATTTTATTGCATATTTTGATTAACTTTTAATAATTTTTATAGTAAATGTAAATTTTAATTAATATAAAAATTAAACAACTGTCACAAAAACGCGTTAACTCCCGAATAAATTCAATATTCTCATCCTAATCCAATGCTTGTATATGCCTTGATAAAACCTTTGCATTATGACAAAGCTAGCTACACAACCAGCTCTTTCTTCCATATTCCTGCAGCATATTCAACCCGGGGCGACCAGCAGCAGAGAGTCCATTGGAGCTGATTGCATGAATGATGGTGGGAGAGTTTGAGAGGCGAAGGGATTATATAAGAGTGAGAGAAATCATCCTGAGAAGAGAAAAGAGCCTGATGTACAGCAGGGCTTCTGAAACAGCTCAGCAGGGGGGCCGGGGGGGGGGTCACAACAAGAGAAAACTACTGGAAGGCCCTGCACTCAGACCACCATAATGATGAGTGTGTGTGTGTGTGTGTGCCAGGGTATATGCAGGCATCCTGAAGTCAAATGTAAGACCTTTTAAGACCTTTTTTAAGACCCTTTCCATACATTTTAAGACCTCATCGCCACTTCGAGTTCTAACCGGTTACATTGGCGACACACTTTACCTCACATTGACTATATACAGTATGATTGTCCTTCCTCCTTATCTTCCAACCATTTGGACGCAGACTTGCATTTCCCCATAACGATGTTGTTTAACAACCGGCGTAAACGGAGCTTCGCGCGCTATCAAGCAGTGAGCGTGCTATGTCCTGTTCAGATGACGTCAAACCCAACGGGATGCCATAAATAAACTACACAGAATCACACTACACACCTACGCAATGATTACATTCAGGCAGACTGTAGAATACAACCGCTTTGGACAATTTATATACTTATTGAAAACAAGCTACAAAATGTAATACCTTGGAAAATGCCGTTTAATACTTTTTAATAGCCTTCATTTTCGCTAAATTGACACATTGACAGGTGGTGTTTACCTGCGTGGCCTTGGAGTCTCTCTCCAGGATCCTCTCCTTGATCAGTTTGATGAGCGGCGTGATGTTGTAAAACTCAGCCTCCTCCAGGACGCCTTCAAACAAAAACACAACAAGGATAAGCTCCAAATACTGAGGACAAGTGGCTCTAAATACTGAGGACAAGTGGCTCTAAATACTGAGGACAAGTGGCTCTAAATACTGAGGACAAGAGGCTCTAAATACTGAGGACAAGAGGCTCTAAATACTGAGGACAAGAGGCTCTAAATACTGAGGACAAGTAGCTCTAAATACTGAGGACAAGTGGCTCTAAATACTGAGGACAAGAAGCTCTAAATACTGAGGACAAGAAGCTCTAAATACTGAGGACAAGAGGCTCTAAATACTGAGGACAAGTGGCTCTAAATACTGAGGACAAGTGGCTCTAAATACTGAGGACAAGTGGCTCTAAATACTGAGGACAAGAGGCTCTAAATACTGAGGACAAGTGGCTCTAAATACTGAGGACAAGAGGCTCTAAATACTGAGGACAAGAGGCTCTAAATACTGAGGACAAGTAGCTCTAAATACTGAGGACAAGTGGCTCTAAATACTGAGGACAAGAGGCTCTAAATACTGAGAACAAGTAGCTCTAAATACTGAGGACAAGTAGCTCTAAATACTGAGGACAAGAGGCTCTAAATACTGAGGACAAGTAGCTCTAAATACTGAGGACAAGTGGCTCTAAATACTGAGGACAAGAGGCTCTAAATACTGAGGACAAGTAGCTCTAAATACTGAGGACAAGAGGCTCTAAATACTGAGGACAAGAGGCTCTAAATACTGAGGACAAGAGGCTCTAAATACTGAGGACAAGTGGCTCTAAATACTGAGGACAAGAAGCTCTAAATACTGAGGACAAATGGCTCTAAATACTGAGGACAAGTGGCTCTAAATACTGAGAACAAGAAGCTCTAAATACTGAGGACAAGAGGCTCTAAATACTGAGGACAAGAGGCTCTAAATACTGAGGACAAGTGGCTCTAAATACTGAGGACAAGTAGCTCTAAATACTGAGGACAAGAGGCTCTAAATACTGAGGACAAGAGGCTCTAAATACTGAGGACAAGAGGCTCTAAATACTGAGGACAAGAGGCTCTAAAACTGAGGACAAGAGGCTCTAAATACTGAGGACAAGAGGCTCTAAATACTGAGGACAAGAGGCTCTAAATACTGAGGACAAGAGGCTCTAAATACTGAGGACAAGAGGCTCTAAATACTGAGGACAAGAGGCTCTAAATACTGAGGACAAGAGGCTCTAAATACTGAGGACAAGTGGCTCTAAATACTGAGGACAAGAGGCTCTAAATACTGAGGACAAGTAGCTCTAAATACTGAGGACAAGAGGCTCTAAATACTGAGGACAAGAGGCTCTAAATACTGAGGACAAGAGGCTCTAAATACTGAGGACAAGTGGCTCTAAATACTGAGGACAAGTGGCTCTAAATACTGAGGACAGAGGCTCTAAATACTGAGGACAAGTAGCTCTAAATACTGAGGACAAGTGGCTCTAAATACTGAGGACAAGTGGCTCTAAATATGAGGACAAGAGGCTCTAAATACTGAGGACAAGTGGCTCTAAATACTGAGGACAAGAGGCTCTAAATACTGAGGACAAGAAGCTCTAAATACTGAGGACAAGAGGCTCTAAATACTGAGGACAAGAGGCTCTAAATACTGAGGACAAGTGGCTCTAAATACTGAGGACAAGAGGCTCTAAATACTGAGGACAAGAGGCTCTAAATACTGAGGACAAGAGGCTCTAAATACTGAGGACAAGAGGCTCTAAATACTGAGGACAAGAGGCTCTAAATACTGAGGACAAGAGGCTCTAAATACTGAGGACAAGTGGCTCTAAATACTGAGGACAAGAGGCTCTAAATACTGAGGACAAGAGGCTCTAAATACTGAGGACAAGTGGCTCTAAATACTGAGGACAAGAGGCTCTAAATACTGAGGACAAGAGGCTCTAAATACTGAGGACAAGAGGCTCTAAATACTGAGGACAAGAGGCTCTAAATACTGAGGACAAGAGGCTCTAAATACTGAGGACAAGAGGCTCTAAATACTGAGGACAAGAGGCTCTAAATACTGAGGACAAGAGGCTCTAAATACTGAGGACAAGAGGCTCTAAATACTGAGGACAAGAGGCTCTAAATACTGTGTTAAATATATAAAATCCAGTTTATTTACAAACAGCACCAATCATGTTCATTTGAGCAGATGTTCAACTACATATTAATGAATTATTAATTATACACAAGAGGGTGTATATAGTATTTTCACTTTTTATCTGCTCCACTTTTTGCTATCTGTCTTTATTCAGGGTATATGCAGGAATCCTGAAGTCAAATGTAATCCCTTTTAAGAGCTTTTTTAAGACCCTTTCCATACATTTTAAGACCTCATCGCCACTACCTTAAGCTACTATTACAAACATGTATCCATTATTTTATAGCCTTGTTTAAGCAAAACATTTGACAGTTTTTCTGTTATTTTCTAGCAGGCAACAATTACAAGATACGATATTTAGTTATCTGTATCTATGGTATATTTTCACATTTATGAAACTAGAAACTAAGGGGAAATGACATCACATGAAGGCAGTATGGAGGTACACAGTCTTTTTTAAGCCATTTCATTATTTCCACCAGCCCAACAAATAAAATAAACTCAAAACACGTCGGACCTTCTTCAGCGAGCTCCTTGTTGTAGACCAGTTTTCCGTGCCGCAGGTAGTTCAGGATTGGACCGAAGTAGGTCGGATCTCTGTCGATCACATAGGCTCCCGAATCGTCCTGAAACAGATAAAAAAAAACTTCCATTAATCCATTATAACTCAACATTATGGAAAATGTCCCCGTGTAACCGTGTCCCCGTGTAACCGATCCTGCTCTGCTGAAGATGTCACTCCTTGTGTAAAATGCATTTATCTATTGGTATTTACTTTACTATTATTAATATATTTTTTATAATTATCTTATTTATTTCCTTATTTTAACTTGTGTCATTTGAATGAAAGAGTCCTATGTCCGGATATGTCTTGATTTGTAAAAATGAAAATTAACAGTTAAAAAAACACATTATAATGTGTTTTTTTAACTGTTCATTTTCATACGTTCCTGCAGAAAGCCTTTTCCTTGTGTTTTACTGTGTTTCGACCTTAACTCGGGTGGTGTGCAACGTTGTCTGTTGCACTTTCTACATTGCTCAGAAAACTTTTTTTGTGTTCATAATATGTTATCTGTAAACATAGGATGTTGCTACTACTATTTTGAGACCATTAAGGGGCCTCTTGTGCAATATTTTTGTAGTATATTTGGCCCCAAAGCTCCCTGTCTGGGGAATAACATCCTGGTTGTCTTTTTTATTTAATATAACGTAACAACAAGCTAATAAAACATTGCTATTTGACCCTCATACCACAGCAGCAGGACACAGATTCCACTGCTTCCTGGCTCTCCAGAGTAGTTGGCTTATGTCATGAGCACTGCCCTTTAAAGACACACTTAGACACACTTAGACACACACACGCACCACACACACACACACACACTTAGACACACACACTTAGACCCACACACAAACAAACAAACACACTGCTCTCCCTCGTGATGATCGCTTGAAGCACTGCCCTCTTGTTAAAGAGTCAAATTCACAAAAGAGCCACTGCTGAAATATCCATACACCAACATGCAGGCCTTTAGGAGATTGAAGTAGAAGGATATAGAGGAGGGAATGTATTGAAGAGGAATCATGTGTCACTAACATTAGGTTCAACAGTCTAGAGAGCATTGGCCGAGAGAAGCAAAAAGGACAGGAACACAGTGTATTTGGTTCTTATGTTGAGTATAATTCTAGACAGATAAGTCTGAGAATCCACAAAGCCCTTAAACTTCAGCGTGATGAAGTAAACCTGCTTTATTCACATGACTGATTCTGTTGATGGTTTGCTGAAGTAGGGCTGCTCGATTATGGCAAAAATCATAATCTCGATTATTTGGGTCAATAATTGATATCACGATTATTAAAAACGATTATTATTATTTACTTTGAAAACGTGAATTTATTGGAGAAAAAAAATGTGAACAGTATTTTTTTAACAGTTGATTACCCTGAACTTTAAAGGGGACCTATCATGCAAAATGCACTTTTGTACGTCTTTTATACATGAATATGTGTCCCCGGTGTTCCAGGGAACTCACCAAGTGTCAGAAAACACAACCCTCTCTATTTTCCTCCATACCCAAATCTCTAAAAAAGGGGCTGCAACGGATCTGATCAAAACTGATCCAGATTTGAACACTGTCCTGACGTTAGGACGGTGGCGCTACGGCTATTGGGCCAACTCCACCAATCAGGAGGAGACAGCCACGGCCATTGCCGTTCGAAAGCGCTGGAGATATGGGCTCAGAACAGTCTCATAATACACACATGCACACAGAAGGATTCACACTTGTATTTCCGGATCCACACTTGTGTTTGTCAATGCACACCAATGTGTTCCGTTTCATATACATGTAAATAAAATCCAAATACAGAAAAAAGTTTTACATATGTATTTTTGATCCTCACATATTTGTTTTCCGTTTAAATCCTCTGAACCGGCAAACCAAACCGCTTTCTGGATCGCTGTGCATTCGTGTGTGGGTTTTTGAGACTCCCCTGACGGTCACCCGATTCGTACTTGTAATTTTTCTATCTATAGCCAATCAGATGTCTCCTCAATTCTAAGCCAATCACATGAGTGCGTCCCCACGAGGGTAGATTTCTTGCGTTCATGACGTAGCGCTTCATGTGCGCATTTTGCGCTGTCCGGAGCTGACAGGTCCATGGAGCCTGTCTGCAGGCGCTAATCTCAGGACACCTCCGCTCTCAGTACATTGCCACTTTCCGAGCAGGAAATGCACGCAAATACAAGCCTTTATATTATTAAGGTACAGTGCCACTTTCCGAACCATTAATGAATGCTTGTGTACACAAGAACGGCAGGCAAAACTGTTTTAAATGTGTGTTTCCTGTATGTCGAATACAGCTGCTTTATTTATGTCTGAAGTTGTTGTGAGTGTGGAGGGAGCAGCTACAGGTTAGCTTAGCCTAATCGATCAGTGCACTACGAAGCCAGTGCTAGACAGTGAACTGTCAACGGGGGGAGCCCCGCCGGTCATTATCGGCCGATATTCACTCTTAATAGTTTGATCGGTGCTCTCTATAAAGGCCGATCAGGAGAGCTGGATCTGATCGATATGGACATAACGCAGTGAAGTCGAGTGAAGTTTTAGCGAGCTGCATGAGAAACTGACGGGCTGTCAGGAGAGAGGGAGGGAGAGAGGAAAAGAGAGATCCTTACTCCCGTGTTATTATCCGGTCATAGTCCGGTAATTACCTGCTAACGGAAACTCTGCTACACAATTCTTCTTCTTATTCTTATTATTATTGAAACATGACCGGTAAGTTTTCAAATTTGTCCGGTAAATTAAATTCTGTCTGCGGAAACCCTGCTCCGGACAGCGCAAAATGCGTATATGAAGTGACATGAACGCAAGAAATCATACCCTCGTGGGGACGCGCTCATGTGATTGGCTTAGAATGAAGGAGACATCTGATTGGCTATAGATAGGAAAATTACAAGTACGAATCGGGTGAACGTCAGGGGAGTCTCAAAAACCCACACACGAATGCACAGCGATCCATGCACAAAAGCGGGTTGTGTTTGCCGGTTCAGAGGATTTAAACGGAAAACAAATATGTGAGGATCAAAAATACATATGTAAAACTTTTTTCTGTATTTGGATTTTATTTACATGTATATGAAACGGAACACATTTGTGTGTGCATTGAAAAACACAAGTGTGGATCCGGAAATACAAGTGTGAATCCTTCTGTGTGCATGTGTGTATTATGAGACTGTTCTGAGCCCATATGGAGACGGCTATGTATATATGCCAGGCCTCTAGATGGTGCTGTTCTCACAGAATCAACCCTTGCAAAAACAGAGCAAACATTTTTCAAATTGAGCAAAATGAGGCATGGCTAAAATGCATGATCTGTTTGGTATTTTGAAGAAAAAAAAGTATAAATATGCCTTATATAGGTATGGCCCTACACTATATTATTCAAATATAGCATGATAGGTCCACTTTAAGTATAATTCAACTGAAAACCCAAAAAAAAAAAAAGTAATAATAATAATAATAATAATCGTTTTATTTCGATTACGTTGTTTTCGTAATCGTTGCAAGCCATAATCGTAATTGCGATTAAAATACGATTAATTGAGCAGCCCTATTGCTGAAGTGGCAACGAACAACCTTAGCCCGCAGCAGCAGCATCCTGCACAGACGCATGTTATTAGCGGCTCTTTACTCACAGCACCACTCAGCCTCGCTGTAACTGTGATGACCTTTGATTATAACCCCAAAAGGCAACATTTAAATACCAACATGCTGCAAATGTGTTCCTGCTCCAGCTTTGGTGGTTCGTTATGAAACAGCAGGAAGACCGAGTGCTGTGTTAAATGTTTGTTTATTCAAATCTTAGTTTGCTTATTTGGAAAGGTATCAGCTGCTGACATCGGTTCCAGGTTAACACAAAGTTGGATGTAAACAAAGGAGTGTACAGTTTAGTTATAAGGGTATAGGTAAATTCATGTTTTTGCCATGAGGAGTTGAATACTAGTTTATAAGAGGCTGCGGGTTTGATTTGGATGCACTGTTTCCTCCTCATTTTTGCGGCTGTATAGAAGAATTTCTCTTTTTACACACTCCTGCATTTGCTCTACCTACTCAAACATATTGTCAAGCTGGAGGCGGCTTTGTGGCTTCTTGGATTTAATCATCCATGAATAAAAAAACGTGCATCTTGCTTACTTACTTCTCATGCTTTACGAGTTGCTACATGTACTGTAATTATAGCGTAGTTGACTCTCACGAATTATCATTATCTAGCTACTTAGCCCAAGTTCATTATTTGTATTATTATTTGTTTACGTCACTTTTATTTGTTTGTTGAGCACTTCCGGTAATTGTCACATGGGTGTGGTTTGTGTATTTAAGTCACCTGTTTCATGTCGAGTGCGGATGACAGAGGGTGAGCTTGTGCTGTCATTTTTTCTGTTGATCGTTTTGTCCATGTTATGATTTTGTTTATTAAATATCCCAAAAACTATCTTGCTTCACTATGGACTTTCTCTTCGAAAACGCGTCACAGTTTATAGCCAAGTTTAGCCTCTCGGCGACTCAAACGCAACTGGGGATTGAGCCGCCACATACCCCTTCATCTATTAATATAGCTTGAACCCATCGTCTCTACAGTGAGACAGAGAGTAAGAAACCCCAAATAAACCCACAGTAAGTCAGTCAGACAGAATCAGGAGAGGAGACTCTGCTAGCAGCCTGAAGAAATCCATTTCTGAATGATAGATGGTGCGCTGTCAACCCAATTGTATCCCCGACATCATCTCTCCACGTCGTCTTTGCTGACGTAGCGTGACGGCGGCTTCTGATGTGACGTTCCCAAATGCGAGAAACTAATGCAATGAACCAAGACACTGACGTACAGAAAGGGCCGGATCCTGCCTGTACAGCAGGATGGAGCATGTGTTATGGAGCTAAATCAGGGATGGATTAAGAGATGGAAAAGACAGGAAGAGGGAATGAACAACAGGAAGACAAATATGATAAAAGTAAAAGAATGACACAAAGATCTGTGGTGGAAAATCTGCAATAAACGATATTAGTTATAGGGCTGTGCAATTAATCGTATTTTAATCGCAATTACGATTTTGGCCTGCCACAAT